CCTTGTATCTGAAGGTGGGCGGGGGGGGCTCTTTAACTTACCTGGCTGCTTCTTGCTCCTCGTGGCCCGACTGAGGGCTGCTGGGAGCAGGGGGTGGGGCTTGTTGCATGTGCCCGCCCCCTGGGCTCCTTACTGCCGGAGCTCCGCTCCTATGCGCTCCTGCAGGAAATGACCCCTGGCCCCTATTATTGACCCACCTCACCAAGTGCCGGCTTTAAAGTGTACCTAAATGGTCTGGGACCATCGTATCTATGGGACTGCCTCTCCCTATATACCCCCCCCCCGAGAGCATTACACTCTTCCAGAAATAACTTATTGCCTGTTCCTGCCCCCTTAACCAGGGCCGGGGTCTTTTCGGCTCTGGCCCCAACCCGATGGAACTCTCTGTCTAATGAGACTTGGGCCCTGCGGGACTTGGTTCAGTTCCACAGGGCCTGCAAGACTGAGATGTTCAGCCAGGCATACAGTTGAGGACAGCGGCGGCCAGTTGAGATCTGTTGGCCTCCCTCCCTCTTTTCTTTTTCCCTTTCTCTGCGCTGGCTGCCCCCGGTTGTTCGCCTGTGATGGATACTAGGGCGCCATCTGGTATAGGAATGAAGTTTTAGGTTTTAACTGATATAATGTAGATTTTAAAAATTGTAGAATGTTGAAATTTGTTGTCTGTCTGCTTGTCGGAAGCCGCCGTGGGCCCTGTTTGCAGGGAACGGAGCGGGATACAAACTGAACGAACACACAAACAAATACCTGAGCCCGAGTCTCATGCAACTGCTTGACTTCCGCCTGCAGCCTCTCGCACTCCGCCTTCAACTGCTCCTCCCGGTGCTGCGAGTTCTGCACTTCCTGCCGCGTATCTTCCAGTTCTGCTTCCAGCCTGTGCACCTCTAGGCCCTCTGCCTGTTCGAGGCCTCTGGGGTTCTGCCAGTTCATGGAGCGATCCAAGACTGGAGGAGGACAGACAGAGGAGGGAGGATGTAAGGCAACAGGAAACGTGGAGGAAGGGGGAGCAGCCTGATGGATTAAGTGGTATTCCGGAAGCCCGCAGGGCAGCCATTTTGTTGACCCTCACCATTCCTGCCATCACAAGGTGGTTGGGTTTGGCTCTGGTGTTGCCAACCTCCACATGGGGCCTGGAGATCTCCCGCTATTACAATGGCTCTCCTGGCAACCGAGATCAATTCCCCTGGCGACAATGGCTGCTTTGGAGGGTGGACTCTATGGCATTGCACCCTGCTGAGGTCCCTCCCCAAGCTCTACCCCCAGAATATCCAGATGTTTCCTAACCCAGAGCTGGTAAACCCTGTTTTGACTCCCCAGATAATCTATGTCCTGTGGTAAAATGCTTCCCGGTACCATGTTCTGCAAACATATCACATGAAAACCAGCAGCACATGGTAAAGCACTCCCTGATACCCCTAAGCCAGTCACAGATACCCATTAAGGCTGCTAAAAGGTCCAAAGAAAAGTGTTCCGTCCCTCTAACAGAGGCTTCATGGGATGCTGTTTACCAGATTATGGACGTTCATGTCCATGCCTTGAAAACGTCAACTATCCATTTCCATGCATTAACCCTCTATTAAAGGGACAGGGAATTTTTCTTCGGGCCTGTTGGCAATCAGTTACACATAACTAGGGGGAAGACGGGCTTGGGCTCTGGTACCTCTTGTTCGGCAAATTCAGGCCTGTTGGCAATCAGTTACCACCTCTAGGCTACTGCTAGAATTAGAGTACACATAACTAGGGGGAAGATGGGTTTGGGCTCTGGTACCTCTTGTTCGGCAAAATAAACGTTCCTTCTGATGCTCCTCTAAGACCATGGCTCCTGGTGTATTTGAAGTGTCCCACAAAGTGGTAACCTGTTATCTAGGGTTGCCAGCCTCCAGGAGAGGACTTGAGATCTCCCAGAATTACAACTAAGCTCCAGATGACAGAGATCAGTTCACCTGGAGAAAAGGGCTGCTTTGGAGGGTGGGCTCTGTGGCATTATATCCCCCTGAGGTTCCTCCCCTCCCTAAACCCTGCTCTCCCCAGGCTCCACCCCAAAACCTCCACCAGTCTCTGCAAAGTAAGAAAACTACTTTTGCCAGGATAAGGATCTTGTAAAACTCGGTCTAGAGAACAAATCCTTGATCATTTCCCCATAAAGCAAACTCCTTTTTAATTTTTAAAGGTAAAACAATTCTCCTAGGGATTCTGGGTAATCAAAGAGGCTCCCTTTTACAAGCTTTTGAAATGGAACCATTTTTCCTGCACAAACTCAAGGCACCACAGTGCCATCTACTGGCTGAAAAACACAGCACCCCAAATGAACTCTCCTATGTACTTTCACATGCTGCAACTGACAAACCAGTTTAACAATTGGGTTCTTGCTTGTGAGTGCGTATGTTGACCCCCGTTTTTCCCAGAACACCCAGGGAGCTACTGGAGTAGTTCACCCCACATCCAGTCAGTTCCTCTGACCTGGGAGCAAGTGCAGTGTGGCTAAGAAAACCCAGGAGGTACCCAATTCAAATCCTGCCTTCGCCATAAACTCACTGCAAAGCTTTAAGTCACTACCAGTCTCAGCCCTCCTCTCATTCACAACATGAATGGAAAAACTGGCATACTTTGCAGGACTGTTGTAAAAATTGCAAGAAGAGAATATGGGTGGAGTGCTTTGAACACTGAACGTAATACATAAATGCTAAGTGTTGTTATTAGGATTCCTTTCCAGTTTTCCACACAAAAAATAAAATTGGCTGTGGATTCTGCATATGGCTCCCCAACACGGCTAGGGATAACTGCACGGCAGCCTGCTTCAGTGTGCATATAGACAGCCAGCGTCATGTAGGGGTAGATTAGGATCTCGGAGATCCAGGTTTGAGTCCACACTCGGCAATGGAAGTTTGCCAGGTGACTTTAGGCAAATCACTCTCCCTCAGCCTAACCCTCCTCATGGGGCTGTTGTTGAAAAGATAAGATGGTGGAGAGGAGAACACTGCCAGCTGCTTTGGGTCCCTAGCAGGGAGAAAGGTGGGGTAAAAATTATTTTTTTTAAATGTCACTGCTAACTGAATTGGGATATATGGTTTGTTTTGGTGGAACGAAGTGGCACTCTTCTGGATTATAATGCTTAACATTGCAAAAGCAGAGGAAGAGGAGGAAGAAGAGTTGGATTGGAATCTGGCCATTCACTCGGGAGTCTCAGAGTGGCTTACAATCTCCTTTCCCTTCCTCTCCCCACAACAGACACCCTACAAGCAGTGTTCCCTCTAAGCTGAGTTAGTGTGAGCTAGCTCACAGTTTTTTAGCTTGTGGCTCACACATTTTTGTCTTAGCTCAGGAAGGATGGCTCCAGAGCAAAGTGCAAATTTATGCAGTAGCCAAATTACTTGCTCACAACTTTTAATGCCAGTAGCTCACAAAATCGAATTTTTGCTCACAAGACTCTACAGCTTAGAGGGAGCATTGCCTGTGAGGTAGGTGGCATTGAGAGAGCTCTTTCAAGGACTTCTCCTGAGAAAACAGCTCTGAGGAAACTTGTGACTGACCAAAGGTCATCCAGCTGGCTGCATGTGGAGGAGTGGAGAATCAAATCCATGTCTCCAGATTAGAGTCTGCCACTCTTAACCACTACACCAACCTGCCTGTCTGGAACTCTTTTAAGCGTTCAGACTCTTACAACATCCCTGTAAGGCTTAAGCCAAACCAGTATCTTTATTAATTATTCTCCAGTTTGCGGTTGGGAGCTCTACAGGTGGTGGTGGAGACACAAAGAGCAGAGCCTGGGAAGAGGATCTTAACTGGGGGGCTGGACAATAAGGGTGGAGGCAGTTGTAGCTGCGAGATGGAGGCTTCCTAGCTAATCCTTTTTAGCCACTCCCCTCTTCCAGACCTTCCGCCCTTCCAAAGCCATACCCAACTGCAAAAGAGGCAGAATTAACCAGACGCACACATATTGGACGACATCATGTGACACAGAAGTCCTGGAACTACCAGGGCCTGGGAGAGCATGGAGAAAGACCAACCCCCCCCCCCCCCCCCCCCATTTCCCCAGACCAGAAAACAGGAGAGTCACCGTGGCCACCATGGAGCGAGAGGTACTGCACTTCCTGGGTTTGCAGCGGAGAGCTCATGCTCTGAAACGTGTTGCTGTCCCTCTGCCTCAGCTGCTGCTCCAGGCTATGGATGCGGTTCAAATGTGTCTCAACCAGTGCTCTCTGTGGAAAGAGGAGGACAGGCATGGGTGGGGAGAGAAGGAGAGAGAGGGAGAGAGAGAAAGAGTATGCATGCAAGAATGCTGAGCGCTATCCAGTGCCCTCAGACAAAGATTCCCTCGGGTCCTTTTCCCACCTAATCATCATACCAAATCATCTGCTGCTATAGCATGGACCAGTTAATAGCTGCTTGTTTCTATGTGATGCCTGGATTTCCCCCCACCCCCACCCCGCCAGCTTCATACCCCATGCTTAGTTTCAGAGGGCAGCCATTTTGGTTCGAGTCCAGTAGCACCCTAGAGACCAACAAGATTTTGGGGGTATCAGCTTTCGAGAGTCGAAGCTCCCTTCATTAGATAAAGCTTTTAAAAGCTCTCCCTCTCCCCACTTCAGCTACGATACGGAGGGAAAGGGGTGAGGAGAATTGGCTGTTAACTGTACTCCCCGGAGAAGACGAGATTGGATTTATACTCTGCCCTTCACTACCCAAGGGAGTCTCAGAGCGGCTTACAAACTCCTTTCCCTTCCACTCCCCACAACAGACACCCTGTGAGGTAGGTGGGGCTGAGAGAGCTTTTGAGAGAACAGCTCTGAAAGAACTTGTAGCTGACTCAAGGTCACACCAGCAGCTGCACGTGGAGGAGTGGGGAATCAAACCCCGTTCTCCCAGATTAGAGTCTGTGCTCCTAACCACTACACCAAACTGGCTCTCTTGCCTGCACAGAAGGCCCTAAAGCTCCCAGGCCAGCTTTCTGCCCTCCTCTTTGGATATCTTTGTTCCCCCACTTTGGCATGACTCTGAGTTCTGGATTCTTGAAACAGGTTTACAAGCTTCCCCTCCCCCTATGAATTTTTCTGTTCAACTTTTAAAATGTTACAACAGTAACTGCAGAAAACCATGATCATATTTACATTATTACAATTCTAAAAAACTATCTATAGTAACTTGACACGATACATTTTAAGGAGTTATAGAACTTATAAAAATATCGGACAGTTAGAACACTTGATTCATAAATGTAGCTCTCAGGACTCACACATCATTAAATGGTTTCCAGTTCTTTAAAAATGTTGACTTCTTTATTTTTCCCTCTCTTGACCAGACTATCTCAGTTAGCTTTGACAGTCTTGCAGTTTGCCATATCTTTTGTACTCGGGACTTTAGATGTAATCTTTCAGTCCTTTGCAACTGGCATTTTAGCTGCAGTCAAACAGATCACTGGCTTTTCAAGAACTCAGCCAGAGTATATTTCTATGTTGCCTCTCCAGAGTCCTGCTCAAGGCAGTTTACAATTCAAAACCACAATATTAAAATGCAAGCAATGAAAACACAAGCCCCTGGACATAAGCAACAATGCATTAAAAGATGGGCTTTTCTGCAATCTCATCTTCCTCACGTGTACATTTCTGTTGCATGGGGGGGGGTCTGTTCTGCAAGTGTTGCTCCCTCTAGTGGTCAATTTGATATTACATTGGTTGATGCTCAGCATATTTCCCTGCAGATTTAAACTTCAGATTTTTATGCCGGACATAACATACTGTAATATCGGACTGACCACTAGAAGGAGCAAAACATTTGCAGAACAGAACTCCACCCCCCAAACACAGGCACATACAAGCGAGGAAAATGAGAATGCAGAAAAGCCCTTTCTATAAAACAGAAGCAGACCATGAAAAAGCTGGTGAGATAAACTCCTAATTAAAGCCTAGGTAAAAAAAAAAAGATGTGTTCTGACATGGCACCTAAAAGAAAGCAGGTGCCAGGTGAGCCTCAAGGGGTGTTCCAAAGGCAAGGTGCCACCACAGAAAATGCCCTGTTCCTCCAGGGATTGAGAGAGCTCTTTCAAGGATTTCTCCTGAGAAAACGGCTCTGAGGGAACTTGTGACTGACCAAAGGTCAGCCAGCTGGCTGCATGTGGAGGAGTTCTCCTGCTTTCTATAAAACAGAAGCAGACCATGAAAAAGCTGGTAAGATAAACTCCTAATTAAAGCCTAGGTTAAAAAAAAGATGTGTTCTGACATGGCACCTAAAAGAAAGCAAAGTAGGCGCCAGGTGAGCCTCAAGGGGTGTTCCAAAGGCAAGGTGCCACCACAGAAAATGCCACGTCTCACCTCTGAAAGTGGGGGCACAGAGATCAGGGCTTGAGAGGCTGGTCTTAACTGGCGGACTAACCCTGATTAATGCAAAATCACATCTTTTTCCAGCTTCGTTTTATTTTACCAGGAGGTCTCCCTCTGTTGTTCTGCCCCTCCTCCCTATTTATTGGAGTTGGATCCTTGGATCTGTTCCTCTAGAGGAGGTGCTTCCCCTCAGGCTGAAGGAGCCTTACCCCAAAGCAAGAAACCCTTCCAAGTAACTTGTATCTCAAAAGGCTCCTTCTGCCAGAGGGAAACGCTTCCACTAGCAAAACAGACCCCACCCATTCTGTTTAATCAGCATCCCCCCACACTTTGTTCTCAATGTATTTTGTTCTGTCCTTCCTGAGCACTCTTTCACCTTTCCTCCTCATCCCCCAATTCTTTCCTTTTGCTTTATGCCTAATGAAGTTGTACACCTTTGCAGGTCAGGCTTTGCTGATTGTTTATGCTATGTAAAAAGGGATCCTCCTTATTCAGAGGCAGTGTATCTCTGACTAACAGACGCTCAGGGACAAGCAAGCAGGCATGGCAAACTCCATCATGTCTCGCTTAGAGAGACAAGTCTGACTGGACAAGGCAATTACATGCTTAAATACAGCACTGTTTCCAAATAAATAAATTTTTGCAATGCAAAAGGGGTTGGTTCTCCTGAGGGTCACTAGCCGTAATACCCAAAAGTGCAAGATTTGCATAGACACAACTGGATGATCTCGGCCAGTTACTCATTCTCAGTCTAACCCATTTTACGGGGTGGGGGTTGTGAGGATAAAATGAAGGAAGAGAGAACAATGTTGTAAGCGGCTTTGGGGAGAAAAGTAGGATTTAAATATATATACAAAGAAAACAAACATATTACCTACAGGGAGATGTTCTGAACTTCCAAGGGATCACTCTGGCAGGCCACCGAATAAAGACAAGAGCCTGAGCATAAGGGTTCTTTGACGCAATCCCATATTACAAGGTTTTCAAAAATCATTTGATTGGCTTTCTACCACCCCATCCCTAGGGACTGTGTCAGGCTGCATGTGGGACAAGCCAAAAATGAAAACACGCAGTCTGGACAGAGCAACACCCTGGATGAGAGATGCTTTAATCCCTGCCAGAGAATCCCCAACCAAGACTGAACAAGAAAAACATTCCAGTTGGTTTTGAAAGGGCCTCTAGGCTGGGATTTTGGATCGTTCTCCAAGGCTGTGGTCACAAACACTAAATAATCCACTTTCAGTCCACTTTCGATGCGCTTTCCAACTGGATTTTGCCAGTTCACACAGTAAAAACCCAGTTGGAAAGTGCACTGAAAGTGGATTGAAAGTGGATTATTTAATGTGTGCGACTGCAGCCCAAATGTTCCCTGGAAAAGGAAACTGGTTTCAGCAGAAAAGCTGCACCACATCCCGGGTAGGTGAAAACGTGGCTGTCCTCTCTCACGTTACAGACTTGCGCGAAAAGGTATGTGCGAAGGAAGGCACCTTGAGCAAGAGGCCTGGGTGGAACTCACCATCTGTCCCAGCTCTGACTCAAGGTCAGTCTTCTCCACGCACAGCTTCTCATAGGCTTGGATCATCTCTGCCAGCTGCTCTTCCCTCTCCTTGCTTTTCTGCAGCTGGGGAGGGAAGGAAGGAGAGGAGAATCAGGGTGTGAGAGAAAGCCTTTTCCTCCCATGTAAAACACCGTTATTGGGTCTTCTTCCTGCCTCTGAGCAAACAGAATTTGCAGATTTCATTCATGATACATAAAAACCTGACAAACCTGTTTATCAAAAGTGAAAGCAGGATGAGGATATACAAAACATACCCACCCAGTTCCGCGGGGGGGGGGGGGGGCTCTATCTCCAGCCAAAGTTAATGTTCTTCCCACCCTAAAATTCCAAAGCAGTTGTGGTTTCTTTCAAGATACCAGGTTTCTGGAAATGTGTGTAACACACAGCAACTATAATCAAGTAAACACATCGTTAGATTTTGAGAAGGTCAGGAATGAAGGAATTCAGGCACATGGCATCTGTTTTGCAAATTCTTAGAACCAAGTGGATAAAATTTGCACAAACGCACATCTAATCCTGTTTTGATACTGTTCCTGGGGCAGTGGATATTTATACTATTATACAATCCTATGCTGAGTTACTCCAGTCTCAGCACATGGAAATCAATGAGCTTAGACTGGAATAACTTTGCATAGGACTGCACTGATAGTCTGCTGCCACAAAAGTAGGCAAGATGCTTGTAGCACCTGGACCGCTATTGAGTTTTCATTCTACTATTTCTGCTTACGCTCAGATTAAAAACTGGATTGTCCCGTAAAGTGCCATAAATCCCTGGTGGATACGATGCAATGTCAGTTTTTTCTTGTATTTAAAGATATTCACGTCAAAAGAAGGAACCTTTCACTGGACGAGCTCCTCAAGAGTAAGAGGAGCGGCAAGGTGAGAATGATGCTCTGGGAAGTTTCGCCCAACCCCTCCCCATATGCCTATGTCGCTTCCGGTATGTCACTTCTGGAAGTGATGTAGTCATGTCAGGGCACATGGGGCCCGCCCACCCCCTGCCCCCAAAGATTTTCTGCCTACAGGGAGGCCTTTCAGTAAGATCTTAGAAATTTGTTAACTTTTAAAAAATCTAATTTCCTAATTGGTTGGGAACAGGGGAACAGGGACTTACCTACCAGGAAGTACAGCATTCCAAACAGGAAGTTCCTGACATCAGAAAGTCTCTACTGGCCAAGTGACTAAACTCACAAGTGGCTGTTTCTATTACAGCTGATGTCAGAGTAAGGCCATGCTGGGCTCAAGGGACCTCTGATCTACGTGGGCCTTCTGCAATTTTGTATGTTAACTTAGAAGTCCACATTCAGTAAGAAATTTCCTGTAATTCATTAGGGGAAGTTCTGCGGAGGGCTGCTCTACAAACTGCCTTTTGTAAAATGGCTGTGTTGGTTTCCCTGGGACTCCAAAGAGGAGTAGGAAAGTGTTTTAGGATTACAAAATTATTGGGAACTCCCTGCAACAGCAGCTGCACAAAAATCACACAGTCTTCCAAATGCCACCACAATCTCAAACAGCAAAACAAGAACTGACAAATAACACATTCAGCAGCCAAAAACTAAAGCAGCAGAAACCATCATCAGCTGGTAGGAAATGCAAGTCCCAAAGCCACCAGTCAGAGATGAACTCCATAAGCAGGAAGGTTTGGTGCCACAACTGAAGAGGCCCTGTCCCATCCACTACATTTCCAATTATAGGCTGCAAGAAAAGAGATTCTGAGGGATATTTTAGTGTATGGGTGGACGGAGATGGGAGAAGACGGCTTCATATATCCTGGGTGCAGATTGTTTAGGTCTTTACAGATCCAGAATAGCACTTTGGATTGGTACAATGCATCAGACCTTCTGGGCACACAGGGAGACCCCACTCACCTCCCGCTGGAATTGATTCAGCTGCTGCTGGAGATTGGCTTTCTCACTCTTCAGAAGGGAGGTCTCCTTGGAGTCATAGACCGAGAAGATGCGCTCATCTCCAAACTCACTGATCAGTGGGAACTGCAGGACAGGAACACAAGGAAAACAAGATGAAAGCATTTATGTTTATGTATGATAAAAGGCTTTTTGGAAACGCTTGTGCAACATTAAATCAGCATATAAAAGTCCAGATCACAAATACCAGTTTGTCAAGACACTGATACGGAATATTTTAAAATGCAATCACAACAGTGGATCTGTTACTTTCCATAACACTACTGGGCTTGATCCAACCCATTTTCCACTAATGAAAAAGGGCCCACCTAAAAGGGCCCTGCATGGACACAAACCACATGGGACGGGGCCTGTAATAACGAGGGGAATTGGGCAAAAAAGCTTGCTGGATACAACCCAATCAGTGCAACAATATTCTAGCTGCAAAACATCCTTGCCTGGGGGGGCTTCAGAGCTGGTGTGGACTAGTGGTGGTTACAGTGCCAGGCTAGGATCTGGGAGACCCAGGTTCAAATACCCACATTGTGACCTAGTAGGCGAAACTCAGAACATGGCACTATCCTCCACTTGAGCATCCCAGGTCTGGAAGAGGAGGAGCTGGATTTATATCCCCCCCTCCACTCAGAGTCTCAGAGCGGCTTACAATCTCCTTTCCCTTCCCCTCCCCACAACAGACACTCTGTGAGGTAGGTGGGGCTGAGAGAGCTCTTTCGAGGACTGCTCTTGAGAGAACAGCTCTGAGAGAACTTGTGACTGACCCAAGGTCACCCAGCTGGCTGCAAGTGGAGGAGTGGGGAATCAAACCCAGCTCTCCAGATTAGAGTCCGCCGCTCTTAACCACGACACCAAACTACACCAACTGGACTGAAGACCACTGGGTTAGAACCCACTTTCCTCCTGGCTGGTACTCTGTGTCAAGATTCTGGGTCAGAAGTCAACCATGCCCTTCTCTTGAGAATTCTTCAAGCACCTCTGTGCATCATACCTGCAAGACCACCTCTCCTGCCTTCAGAAGGTGCCAACCCTGCAAATGGGTAAGATTGGCAGCTGCCCATTCATGTGTATTTTGAGTAGCGGCTCCCACCTTGTGGAACAGCCTGCCTGAGGAGGTCAGGAAGGATCCTACACTTCTGTCATTCCACATGATGTGCAAAACCAAGAGGGCATTAAAAAAAAACCCCAACAGATGAGAACTGCAGTAGAATGAGAAGCCCAGGAGGGCACCTTTATCATGGAACAGGACTGTAGGCCACTGAATTGACTACAGAAGAAGAAGAGGAGGGGGAGAAGGAGGAGATTGGATTTATACCCCTCCCTTCACTACCCAAAGGAGTCCCAGAGTGGCTTACAAACTCCTTTTCCTTCCCCTCCCCACAACAGACACCCTGTGAGGCAGCTGGGGCTGAGAGAGCTCTGACAGAAACTGCCCTTTTTCAAGAACAGCTGTGCCAGAACTATGGCTTGTCCAAGGTCATCCAGCAGCTGTGAGTGGAGGAGTGGGGAGTCAAACCCGGTTCTCCCAGATTAGAGTCCGTGCACTTAACCACTACACCCGACTGGCTCTCGCCTGCTTCTACTGCATTGTCTTATATCTTGTAATTCACTTCCTGAGTTTTCTATAGTACGCCTTTGCCTTAGTCTGTTGTTCGCATTGTCTTCTGCTTCCTGCAGTCCTGGTCCTAGTGCATTGTTCATCTTATGCTGTTTGATGGCTCTGTTTATATTCTGTAATCTGCCTTCAGTCTCAGCGAGAAAGACAGACTGTAAATAAAGTAAGTAATAAAATGCATCTTGACGTAGAGTTGCCAGCTCTGGATTGGAAAATACCTGGAGATTCTGGGGGTTGAGCCTGAGGATGGCAGGATTTGGGGAGGGGAGGGACCCCAGTGGGGTAGAATGCCATAGAGCAGGGGTGTCGAACTCATTTGTTATGAGGGCTGGATGTGACATAAATGAGACCTTGTTGGGCCGGGCCATGTGTGTCATAAAACGTAATGCCAGGTAGCGGAGAGATAAACTTCATAAAGGACACAAACAGAAAGGGTTGGGTTTTTTTACTTGAAATAAAAACATGCTTAAAACATTAGCACTCTTGCAATATTTTGTTTCTTTAACAGTGTCTGATAACTGACACCTCTTCCTCTGAATTATTGCATCAAAATGTCTGTGCTGTTGCAGTCTTGAGTATGCTGTTCAGGTGTGTATCTGTAAGCTGCAAACCTATGATGATGCAGCAGCAGCAGAACTGGAAGAAGCAGAAATCAGCCAGTTCCACTGTGGGCCTGACAGAAGCCATCTGGGAGCCTGATCTGGCCCCTGGGCCACATGTTTGACACCCCTGCCATAGAGCCCACCTTCCAAAATGGCCATTTTCTCCAGGTGGACTGAGCTCTGCAGCCTGGAGATTTCTTGCAATCCCGGGAGATCTCCAGCCACCACCTGGAGGTTGGCAACCCTATCTCAACACCTTCAGCAATCACTTGTATGGCTTTATTGGGTCAGACTGGTTCTACTCACTGACACGTATCTTTGGGCCGTGCGTCCCCACAGGCCGCCGCTCACCTTGATCTCGTACATCTTCAGCTTCCGCTTGAGGCAGGCGTTCTCCCGCTCCAGCCCGGTCAGTCGGTTCTTGATGTCGTCATAGGCCGTGATGAGAGCGAAGTGGGAGGCCGAGCACATCTCGCTGGAGAGGTCTGTGTTGGGGCTGTCCAGCCACTCGTCATCCTGGACCAAGGCATCTTGGGTAAGGATGCTGATGTCATCCTCAAACATGGAGTCCATGGCACGGTCTGGAAGGGGAGGGCATTCAGGAAGAAAGGCCAGCGCATGGCAACCTCCGGCTGTTGAAAGAGGACAAGAAACATGAGGGAGGAGCCGGCCAACAAATCGGAGTGGGGAAAGCTGGGGGGGGGGAGTTTTTAGAGGGGTGCCTTGGCATATTATCGCCATGGTCACGTCCTACATCCTGTCCTTGATAAAGGACACCTTCGCTAAGCTCGCCTGCATCTCCCATTGGTATTATTCCAAGTCCTCGCAGAAGGCTGTCTGTTATGTGCCAATGCAAAATAATGCTGCTGGTCCTCACTGTGGAAGCCCTCGAACCTCCCGGCCTCAGATCATGGGTAAATTCAGACAAATGGCTCCCCTTTCTCTCCCCTCAAAACTGACATGCTCAGATCTACTTATGTATCTACACTTCATTCATATTCCTACCTTTCTCCCTAATGGGGAGCCAAAGCACCATACATCATTCTGCTTTCCTCCATTGTATCCTCACAACAACCCTGCGAGGTAGGTTGGGCTGAATATGTTTGGCTGGTTGAAGGGGGCCCAGCAAGCTTCCACAGCAGAGTGGAGAATTCAAACCGTAGCCAAGATTTTTGACTTGAGGGGGCATTTAAGTAAGTCAGGGGGCACTGTGTCAGGAGCGACGAGAGAGTAAAAGTTTTTAAAAAGCGATGAGAGAGAGAGAGCGGGAGGCTGGAATAGGGAGCAGATGTGCCCTTTGGCGTGGGAATGTGGGAAAGCCCAGGCAGGGCAGGGCGACAGCTCAGCTTGGCACAGCCGTGGCACGTGCAAAAAATAAAATAAAATAAAATAAACCGGCTGGTTGGGAAGTTAGAAGATCAGGGGGACCGGCCCCAAGATGCTCCATTGTAGCTACGGGCCTGTCCCAAATCCTATTTCAACACTCTAACCTCTACCCCATGCTGGCCCTCCAATCTGCCCATAACAACAGGACGGTTTTTGCTCAGGCACAAATCCGAAATCCTAATCCCAAAAAACTGCAGAACGGGGACAGGGACAGGAGCACAAAAAACAGATTGGGGCAGCATTTGCCGAAGTCTAATAAATTAAACGTTTCCCACCAGAAATAACACTGGGAGATAACAATTCACACACTCACCGAAAAGGATGTTGTGCTACAGTCCTCCCAACTTCGTCCTCTGCATCAACTTAGCCCTTCTCTCTTCCTCATTCAATGGCTGTATAAGGGTAATGCAGATCTATATTCAAGGACTCTTCCCCCTTCTTTTTTTTGTTCCTGCATGAATCACTGATCTGGGCATGCCTTTCAAGTGGAAGGAGAGTGAACCAGAACAGTGACTCATACAGAGTTATGCAAGAGGCAGCCTCCTCTGAGGTTCGGTAATTCTTCTGCATCACAAACAACTGAATTATCCAACTGCAACTGACACAGAGGTGCTCCAGAATTACTAGCCCCCGGCAGAGGCTGATTGGAAGGATGTAGTAAATCATGTAGTAGTAAATCGTGCAGGGATTCAGCAGGCAGCCTCTTCTGAGGTGTGTATTTGGGGGACTGACAGGAACTTTGGGTTATGTATTTCTCACAGCACACCAGCAGATCTCTCACAACGTGCTCATAGGTCAGTTTCAAAATTAATGTCTTACAGTTGTCATTTTTGATCCTTGGTCCAGCTCCTTTGCCTTTCACAGAGAGGAAGAAAAAAAATAACTGGGCCTTCCCACATTTTAGTTTTCCTCGTTTGTAAGTTCCTGTTTCTTTGGGGCAATTTTTTCTGTTCCGCACATGTTTTGCTCCCTCTAGTGGTCGATTCAATATTATACTGGTATATGGCCACTGTAAAAGCCTGCAGGTTAAATCTGCAGGGAGATATGTGGGAAATAAACCACTGTAATATAGAATCCACCTCTAGAGGGAGCAAAACACATTCACAACAGAACCCACCTCCCCAAAGAAACAGGAATGTAGAAAAGCCCATCACTGCTCCATACCAGAAGAAAGATGAAGATACTCAAATACTACCAGTCACTCAGCAATTAAAACCACATGGCTGGCAGGGGAAGCAACAGCCTTCCATAGACCTACTTCAGAATGTGATAGTCATACAGTTGGAACCTCATTTCCAAGCAGCCAAACCCAATTTCTACCCACGCAGCTCTAGGGAAAAGGAATTCCAGTCAGGCATGAGTATCTACAGCAACTCAGTTTTAAGAAAGCGATGACTTAAATATTGTTTCTTTGGTTTGTTTTTATTTGTATGGATGTACTTTTCCTTTACATTTTTAAGTTAAAAAATAAATTGATCATCCATCTTGAGAAAGCAAGCACAGTTTGTTACTCGGGGGGAGGGGGAGAGAGACACACTCAGGACAGGTCCTAAAACAATGCCTTAAATGGAAAATTCAAACAACACCCATTAATTATCAAAAGCACAATCCAGCAGGAAGTCATTTTAGCCCCACTAAAATGATTCGGACTTCCACAGCTCTCATTCATTTTGATGGTGCTTACACAGGAGTCAGATCCAGGCCCGTAGCTACAGTGGAACTTTTGGGACTCCACCCCCTTTCTTAAAGGCATAGCCCCACAGGAATTTCTCCTGTAAATGCATTTCTCAATCATTTTAAAACATTTTTTAAAAGGTGTGAACTCCTTTAAGCAGAGTGGGGTGCTGTAGCTGACTAATTCACACACTGAGCAAGGGGGTTAGAGTAGGTGACCTCTAGGATCCCTTCTAAGTCTGTGTCAAGAAACTGTTCTCCTTGACTATAAAAGTCCTCACCCCCACCTGCCGACTTGTTATCAGAATTGTTGCTTAGGCTGGCAGAAGTGACTAACTTGCAGCAGCTGAGAACTGTCATCTAAAGTGGTTGACAGCTTGCAATTTAGAGATCTGGGAACACCTTTCTTGTGGCTAAATGGTGAACAGGCTAAGGGTGATTACTAGTATAAGAACACCTATGTAGAATAGACAGCTGAGTCATAATCCTCAGAATTCTGGCTTCTCTTTCTCCACTGAGAACTTCAGCCCCACCAGAAAAAAAATTGCCCCATGAGCCACAAAATCCTGGCTACAGGCCTGGCCAGATCCTCTCTCCCAGTTGACCATCTAAAATCCAGAACCTCAGGCAACCACCTTGCCTTTCCGGAGATGCTGCCTGTATACTTTTATATACAGTTCTCAGCTATCCGACGTTTGAGAGGGAAGGTGGATCTATCAATGCAACACACAGATGGCAAGCTCAGAGAACTGTGGAATTAAACAATCACGGCCACGGAATACAAAAACACCACCCAGACTTTTTGAGAGAGACAGAGAGAGTGCACTCAGCAGCAAACTGGTGGGGAAAATCTGGCACTGGGGGAAAAAGAACATCCAACACAGGAAAAGGTGGGAGTCCAAACTGTGTCGCAGAAACTTGGACGGCATGGCAGTATTTTTTAAGGTGGATTATGTGGGTGTATTTGTTAGAGACTGCAGATGCCTTTTAAAAAAACGAAGAGAGGCATGTTTTGGCAATCAATTGCTGGCAAATGAATGAATTTTACGCCGCAAACAAAACGATCTCGCCCTCGTCCTCGGTGTCAATAAACCTGGAACAACTCCCTGCCACTAGCTGCGTTCTCACAACCAGGAAAGCAAAGCCCACTCCGCCCATAAGCCCGCTCTGAAAGGATGCAGGGAATCCACCCGGCCTGCAAGACGGCTTCAGATGCACTCATCTAAGGCTGCTTCCAGACTGCAATGATTTCCTCTGTTCCCTGCAGTGCCACTGAGAATGCAGAGACATGTGCAGCAGTAACAAGAGTATTCACACGGTACTTTCCCCCACACTTTTCTGGCCTCAGCCCCCACAGCTGCCATTCCTGGGGTTGCCAGGTCTCCCTTGGCCACCAGGAGGGGATGGGTGGTAGGGTTGCCAGATCCAGGTAGGGAAACCTCTGGAGATTTGGGGGTGGAGGCTGGGGAGGACAGGGAACCTCAGTGGGGTAGAATGCCACTGAGTCCACCCTCCAAAGCACCCATTTTCTCCAGGGAAACTGATCTCTGTAGTTTGGAGATGAGCTGTAATTCCGGGAGATCCCCAGGTCCCACCTGGAGGCTGCCACCCCTAGCCATTCCCCCTACCACAACCCAACGGAGCGTTTTTCAGGCTTAAAAAAAAATAGTAAAAGACATAACCATATGGCCAACGGAGCGTTTTTCAGGCTTAAAAAAAAATAGTAAAAGACATAACCATATGGCAATTTTTAAAAAGACACCCCCCAAAAAACTCTCAGCAGGGGTGGGGGGGACCGAGGCGAGGAAAACTGTGCCGCCAACTTTCCTCCCGGCCCTGCTCTGCTGCGTCCTTCGCATCAGCCCAACATACAGAAACAAAGCCGTCGAGTGTTTGTTGCTAGGCACACGGCTGGAGAGGCTCGGTAAAGCTTCACCTGCAAAAGGAAAAGCAGATAAGCATTTATCGCCACCCTGCCTAAATCCTTGAAACAGGGTCAGGAAAAGTATCACGATACACCAAAGCTGGAAATTACTTTGCACGGGGAATACGTCTCTCCAGCTCCATAGTGCTTCGGGGGCCCAGACTTCATCTCCCGTTGCCAGGAGAGACCTCGAATGCCAGACAGTTCAGGGTCTTCTAGTGTTACTTCAGAGGAGCCGTATCCGGACATTCCTCCCACTTAGTCCCCATTTTCTGCTGCTTAAAGTTGCCAGGTAGCACCTGGAGATCTCCTGCAATTACAACTGATCTCTAGAAGACCAAGATCAGCTCTCCTGGAGGAAATGCCTGCTTTGGAGGATGGACTCTGCGGTATTATACCCTGTCGAGGTCCCTCCCCTCCCTGGGCTCCACCTCGAATATCTCCAAGCATTTCCCAACCCAGAGCTGTCAACCCTCCTGGCTCCTTGACCCTGGTAAATCCTGCACAAATCTGAGAGAGAGAGAGAAGAGATTGGATTTTTTACCCTGCCCTTCACTCGGAGTCTCAGAGTGGCTTACAAACTCCTTTCCCTT